GCACGCCCAGACTCAGCACCCCCAGACTCAGCACCCCCATTCGCAGCACCCCCAGTCCCCGCACCCGCAGGCTCAGCACCCCCAGACTCAGCACCTGAGTCGACAGCTACCTCGACCGGCTCGGCAGGGTCTACGTGGGACACACCTGAGGGGGCAGGACCCTGGGGGGGGAGGGGGTCTACCGGGGGAGTACCTGGGGCAAGGAAGAGCGGCGGGGGGGGGGGGGGGGAGGCAGTGCGGTAGGGAAAGAGACGGTAGTACGACACCGACTCGTCAAACGTGACGTCCTGAGAGGACAGAACACGACGCGAGGTGGGGTGGTAGAACTGCCACCCGGGTGCGTCAGGAGGGAAGCCAAGGAAGACACAGGGAACGGCACGGGAGGACAGCTTGTCCGCAGTAGTATCGCGGACAAAAGCTCGAGATCCCCAGACACGGAACGCGGACGCATCACCAACCTTCCCCGTCCACCGCAGAGTAGGTGTGGTCTCCGGCAAGGAGACACGAGGCTGAAGGTTGATCTGATGCGCTGCGTACTGAACCGTGAACGGCCACAGAAAATGGGGAGCAGCCGCATGGATCATGGACGTACGAGCAACGTCCATGACCATGCCAATGCGGCGCTCAGCAATCCCATTTTGCTACGGGGAGGCCGGAAGCGTGAACGTCTGGCGGATGCCCTCAGAACGACAGAAGGCTCTCAGGAGGTCGGAGGAAAACTCCCCGCCTCTGTCTGAGTGCAGACGCAGAACAGGAAGGTCTGAGCCGAAACTCTCACTAAGCTGGCAACGAGCACCGCGGATCCAGTCAATCAACACCTCAGGGACCTCACCCTTGCTGCGCAAGGGGAAGACTGTGGTGTAACGCGAGTAGTCGTCAACGACCAGCAGGAAGTAACGCTCGTGACCCTGTCCACGGACGCGGGCTGGGCCCCACACGTCCATGTGAAGAGTCTGCAGAAGAGCCTCAGTCGGAGGGAACGAGGAGGAGTGAGGGGCGGCGCGCTGCCGGCCCTCGACACAAGGAACACAGGTGGGGGCAGGCCCCGGAGGAAGGGGAGGGAGGGACCTGGGGAGACCAGAGACAAGGGCACGGGAGGCCATGCCTCGAAGACGAGGCAGGGAGGGGTGACCAAGGCGGTGGTGCCAAAGGAGAGTCTCGTGCGACAGAGGACGACACGAGCAGGGGGCAGACGCAGGACTAGACCTGGACGCGGCAGCAAACACCTGACTAGACGCAGCTACCTGACTAGACGCAGAGACCGGAGGAGGCGCAGTAGTCAGTGTGTACAGGCTCGACCCTGGCCGACGGGTGAACGTGGCCAGGTGGCGACCCGTCCGAGAGCAAGTGCAGTGGGTCACACGCTGACCTCCAGGGGTGAAATGGTCAACCCACGCGTCCTGGAGGTCAGCTCCACTCACCAGGTTCGTAGAGAACGAGGGGAGGTGGAGTCCCGACAGCAAGCCCGACGGGGCCGCAGGACACGGTAGGACAGTGGAGGAGTGTGCAAGGACTGGGCCCCCTGAGGGGTCAGCAAGGGAGACCGCAACAGGCCGACTGAGCGGCGTGAGCGTGGTGCTGTCTCTAAAGAAAGAGCGTGAAGAACCAGAGTCAAGTGTGAAAGTGTGAAAGGACGCAGTAGGTGCAGTACCAGAGAGAGGAGACGTACCAGCACCTGGAGCAGCAGACGCACTAGCACCTAGAGCAGCAGCCGCACTAGTACCTGGAGCAGCAGACGCACGAGCACCTAGAGCAGCAGCCACAGTGCCCGGGTCAAGCGGGACACGCAGGTAACAGTCACCCTCAGGAATATCAGCAAGAGCATACATGGCAGCAAGGATAGCATCAAAGTCTAGATCAAAGATAGGCACATTCTGCAGAAGCAGATCATGCCAACGAGGAAGCTCAACAGCGTCAGGAAACTGGGTACGCCAAGCGTCAGTCAAGCGGCCGAAGCAGCGCTGCGTGGTGTGTGGGAGACCACACACCTCCCCACTACGAGTGCCGGTGCGAAGAACGTACGTGCAGGGACCTGCACCCCCAGACCTCCCACGCCCAGCGTACCACTCACGAAGTTGCTGAACAGACGGGGTCTCACGGGTGCGCAGCTGCTGCTGACGCTGGCTGCCACCAAGGCCTCCACGCTGCGTGGCCGCACCGCGACCAGCACCACCTTCTCCGCTACCTCCACCACCGCTGCCGCCGCCGCCACCTCCTCCGCCACCACCGCCACCGCCGCCACGGCCTCCACTGCCGCCACTGACGCCCCCACTCCCGGAACCACCCCCACCACCACCTCCACCTCCTCCACCTCCTCCACCGCTGCCTCCACCGCCCCCTCCACCACCCCTGCTTCCCTTGCCCTTGCCAGTGCGGCGTCGCCCACTAGGGGCAGACGCAGCGCCGACCTCCTCAGTGCCAACGAGGTCGACAGCAGCAGCAGAGGCAACAGAGGGGAGAAGGGGGACAGGGGAACACCCCTCAAAGAAGGGGGTGCGACGGTCGCCGCGAGAAGCACCGACAGCTAAGATACTCTTCTCAGCTGCAGCAAGGCGCTCCTCTAGCAAGTCGACAGTCAGCTCAGTGGGGCAAAGGGAGAGGAAGTGATCCCTGGCTGAGGAGAGAGAGTTAGGGAGGCGGGTGACTAGGTAGTAAAGGGTGATGTACATGGGGGGGGAGTTCGTGGGAAGGAACTCATTTGGAAGGGCAGCGCGGTAGCGAGCGTCACTGGTGCGGAGGTGAGCAACTAGGTCAGCAACTGTGGCAAAGGCGGCAAGGTCAGGAAAAAGGTACGGCAGCATGAGGCGGCTGAGGGCAGCAGTGGTAGGGGAGGAGTAGCGTGCAACTACAGCGTCGTACAGAGCCCTAGCACTCTTGTACTGACTAAAGTGCGCGCGCTCAGTAGACGGCAGGTGGTTGCACACAGCAAGGCGAGCAGCAGCATCGCGCGTGAGCCACTGCGAGCGAACAGTACTGTCAGCATCAGCAGCAGGGGCAGTAGAGGTGCCAGACGTGAGATCGAACAGTGAGAGACCATCCTTGCTATCGCACTGTAGGAAAAGTTGCAGATCATCTAGCCAGACCTCAAAGTCAACAGGTCGACCCTCAGCATCAAAGGTAAGAACATTGAGACTAGCCATGACAGGAGCAGCAGCAGGCTAGCAGCAGCAGCAGTGCAACTCGGCTAAGCAGGCTAGGCAGGGCAGCGCGGCTCGACAGGGCGGCTCGGCTCGGCGGTGCTCTTACCAGGGGCTAGGCCGGGGCAGGGCCAGGCAAGGGTCGGGGCAGTACTGCGACAGGTCCAGGGTAGGGCCGAGGCCGGGCCGCAGAAGATCCGGGGCCGGGTTGGGGCAGGGCCGCGACAGTGCAGGAGCAGGGCAGGGGCAGAGCCGGGGCAGGGCCGGGGCAGGGTCGGAGCAGGGCCGGGACAGGGCCGCAGCGAGGCCGCGACAGGGCCGGGACAGAGCCGCGACAGGGTCGGGGCAGGGCCGGGGTCGGGGCAGGTCCGGGAAAGGGCCGGGGCGAGGGCCGGGGCAGGGCTGCAACAGGGCCGGAGTAGGGCCAGGGCAGAGCTGCGACAGGGCCGCAACAGGGCCGGCGCAGGGCCGCGACAGGTTGGGGCAGGGCCGGGGCAGGGCCGGAACAGGGCCGCGACAGGGCCGAAGTAGGGCCGGGGCTGGGTCGCAACGGGGGCCGCAACGGGGGCCGCAACGGGGGCCGCAAACGGGGCCTGACGGGGCCTTACGGGGCCGCAAACGGGGCCTGACGGGGCCTTACGGGGCCTGACGGGGCCGGACGGGGCCAAAAACGAGGCCTGACGGGGCCTTACGGGGCCGCAAACGGGGCCTAACGGGGCCTTACGGGGCCGCAAACGGGGCCTTACGGGGCCGCAAACGGAGCCTGACGGGGCCGTACGGGGCCGTACGGGGCCTTACGGGGCCGCAAACAGGGCCTTACGGGGCCGTACGGGGCCTTACGGGGCCGCAAACGGGGCCTAACGGGGCCTTACGGGGCCGTACGGGGCCTTACGGGGCCGCAAACGGGGCCTAACGGGGCCTTACGGGGCCTTACGGGGCCGCAAAAGGGGCCTAACGGGGCCGTACGGGGCCTGACGGGGCCATACGGGGCCTTACGGGGCCTTACGGGGCTACGCGGTGTCAAACATATATGCCTAGTTATATCTAGGCTTAGTTTATGTGTTTATAGTTGTCTAGGCTATAGTGGGTTTAGCCTTAGGGGGTACAAAGTTTCTCTCGACATTCTACTTGTACCCCTTCCCTTTTCCTAGTCCACCATTCTCGCCTACTATTCTCACATGGTATTAAGAGCATAACATTCCTAGGACCTAATGTTAATGGGCCCACCACCTACTGCCCTGCTAGCCTAGGCCCCGGCCCGTCGCCCCTTGGCGTCGCCCCTAGCCCGCGATCGGCCCGTACCTAGCCCGCGATCGGCCCGTTCCTAGCCCCGCGCCCGGCCCGTACCTAGCCCGTCGCCCGGCCCGTACCTAGCCCGTCGCCCGGCCCGTACCTAGCCCGTCGCCTGGCCCGTACCTCGCCCGTCGCCCGGCCCGTACCTAGCTCGTCGCTCGGCCCGTACCTAGCCTTGCGTCCGGCCCGTACCTAGCCCGCGCTCGGCCCCTTGGCCCCGTCGCCTCGGCCCCGCTGGCCCCGTCGACTTCGTCGCCCGCGCCCGGCCCGTACCAAGCCCGTCGCCCGGCCCGTACCTAGCCCGTCGCCCGGCCCGTACCTAGCCCGCGCCCGGCCCCGTCTCCTGCCCGCGCCCGGCCCGTACCTAGCCCGTCGCCCGGCCCGTACCTAGCCCGTCGCCCGGCCCATACCTAGCCCGTTGCTCGGCCCGTACCTAGCCTCGCGCCCGGCCCGTACCTCGCCCGCGCCTGGCCCCGTACCTAGCCCGCACCCGGCCCGTACCAAGCCCGCGCCTGGCCCCGTCCTTCGCCCAGTGCCTGGCCCCGTCTCCTGCCCGCGCCCGGCCCGTACCTAGCCCGTCGCCCGGCCCGTACCTGCCCGTCGCCGGGCCCCATTCCGCGCCCAGCGCCCGGCCCCGTACCTGCCCAGCGCCCGGCCCAGTCCCTGCTCAGCGCCTGGCCCCGTACCTGCCCAGCGCCCGGCCCCGTACCTGCCCAGCGCCCGGCCCCGTTCCTGCCCAGCGCCCGGCCCCGTACCTGCCCAGCGCCCGGCCCCGTCCCTAGCCATGGCCCCGTCGCCCCTAGCCATGGCCCCGTCGCCCCTAGCCATGGCCCCGTCGCCCCTAGCCATGGCCCCTCGCGACCTGCCGCCCCTAACCGCGGCCCCGGTGCCCTGCTGCGCCATGGTGGGTGAGGGGGTGGCAAGAGGGGGTTCCTCCTGCCCGCGTGCCCTTCAGTCGCACGCGCAGCTCCGCCCCCGCCCCCCCCCCCCCCCTCCCCCCCCTCCATGGGGATGGCGGGGAGAGGGGGAGGAAACTTGGAGGTTCAGGGGGAGGCAGGAGGGGATCTTCAGCACCAGGTCCCCCACCTTTCTCCTACCTCCCCCTGCTGCGGGAGCAGCAGAGGGGGGGAGGGGACCTGCAGCACCTGCCCCCCCCCCCCCCCCCCCGCCCCCCCTTCTCCTCCATCTCTCTGCTGCGGGTGCAGCAGTGGGGGGGAGGGTATGGGGGTGGCGGGTGTGGCCAACCTGCTGTCGCCCGAGCGGCTCCTGCACCGCCCCTTCTCCTACCTCCCCCCTGCTGCGGGTGCAGCAGTGGGGGGGAGGGGATCTGCGGCACCAGCCCCCCCCCCCCCCCCCTTCATCCTTCTCCTACCTCCCCCTGCTGCGGGTGCCGCAGTGGGGGGAGGGGATTTGCAGCATCAGCCCCCCCCCCCCCCCCCGCCCTTTTCTGCTCTCTCTCTCCCTGCCGCACCCTGTGTTGGGAGGGGGGGGGGGAGCTTGGAGGTTCAGAGGGAGGCAGGAGGGGATCTGCAGCACCAGCCCCCCCCGCCCCCCCCCCCCTCCCCCCTTTTCTCCTCCACCCCTGCTGCGGGTGCAGCAGTGGGGGGAGGGGATCTGCAGCAGCAGTGGGGGGGGAGGGGAGTTGCAGCATCAGCCCCCCCCCCCCCCCCCCTTTTCTCCTCCACCCCTGCTGCGGGTGCAGCAGTGGGGGGAGGGGATCTGCAGCAGCAGTGGGGGGGGGAGGGGAGTTGCAGCATCAGCCCCCCCCACCCCCCCACTTCTCCTCCATCCCCCTGCTGCGGGTGCAGCGGTGGGGGGAGGGGATCTGCAGCCCTGTGCTGCCCTGCAGCCCTGCGTGCCCTACGCGCCCTGCTGTCCTGCTGCCCTGCAGCCCTGTGCGCCCTGCTGCCCTGCTGCTGCCGCTACAGCCCTTGCTGTTGCCGCTACAGCCCTTGCTGCTGCCCTGCGCGCCCCGCGCACCCTGCAGCCCTGCTGCGCCCTGCGCGCCCTGCTGTCCTGCTGCCCTGCGCGCCCTGCGCGCACTGCAGCCCTGCGCGCCCCGTGCACCCTGCTGCCCTGTGCGCCCCGCGCGCCCTGCAGCCCTGTGCGCCCCGCGCGCCCTGCAGCCCTGCGCGCCCCGCGCGCCCTGCTGCCCTGCAGCCCTGTGCGCCCTGCTGCCCTGCAGCCCTCTGCGCCCTGCTGCCCTGCTGCTGCCGCTACAGCCCTTGCTGTTGCCGCTATAGCCCTTGCTGCTGCCCTGCGCGCCCAGCGCGCCCTGCAGCCCTGCTGCGCCCCGTGCGCCCTGCAGCCCTGCGCGCCCTGCGCGCCCTGCTGTCCTGCTGCCCTGCGTGCCCTGCGCGCACTGCAGCCCTGCGCGCCCTGCGCGCACTGCAGCCCTGCGCGCCCCGCGCGCCCTGCTGCCCTGCAGCCCTGTGCGCCCTGCAGCCCTGCAGCCCTGTGCGCCCTGCTGCCCTGTTTGCCCCGCGCGCCCTGCTGCCCTGCAGCCCTGTGCGCCCTGCTGCCCTGCTGCCTGTGCACCCCACGCGCCCTGCAGCCCTGTGCGCCCCGCGCGCCCTGCTGCCCTGCTGCCCTGTGCGCCCTGCTGCCCTGTGCGCGCCCTGCTGCCCTCTGCACGCGCCATGCACAGCCCCCCCCCCCCCCCCCCCCCCCGCCCCCCCCCCCCCCCCCCCCCCCCCTCCCCCTCCCTTTTCCTTCCTTCCCCTGCTGCAGGTGCAGCGGTGGGGTGAGGGTATGGGGGTGGCGGGTGTGGGTGCAACTGCGGGGTGGCGGGTATGGGGGTGGCGGGTGTGTGAACCGTCCCCTTCTCCTCCTCCACCTTCGTCTCCCACTGCTGCAGCTGCCGCTGAGGGGGGTGGGTGTGTGGGAGCCGAGGGAGTGGTTCTAGGGGGGTGATGTGGGAGTGGAGCTAGGGGTGCAGCAAGGGGTGTGTGAAAGGGGGGTGGGACAGTTGGGGGAGGTTGAGCGGAAGCTGCCGTCTTGTCGTCTGCAGCACTTGTAGTCCGGGGCTCTGCTTCTGGTAGCTCAGAGAGCCTGCTGCGTCTGTCGCCTGTGGGTCCGTTGCTCCTGTCGCTCAAAGTTAGCCGCAGAGCCAGTTACTCCTGTAGTCCGGGGATACGGCTCCGGTAGCCACAGTGCGCGCCGCTCCTGTTGCCCGTGTGTCTGCAGCATCAGCCGTCGCCTCCTATCTACTCTCCTCTTACAGTCCCGCCTCCTCCTCACTTGCCCTTTGTGAATGCCTCTAGCTTTGCTTGTACTTGTGAACTGGCCTTTTGGCCCTTTGCTTGTGCTCGGACTGTGTGGTGACTTTGTGATCCACCCTGAGCTTGCTTTGCTTTGCTTCTTCTTGACTGGTCTTGTGACCATTGCTTGTTCTGGCTATCCCCCACTTCGCCTATGGGGGTGTGTCAAACATATATGCCTAGTTATATCTAGGCTTAGTTTATGTGTTTATAGTTGTCTAGGCTACAGTGGGTTTAGCCTTAGGGGGTACAAAGTTTCTCTCGACATTCTACTTGTACCCCTTCCCTTTTCCTAGTCCACCATTCTCGCCTACTATTCTCACACGCGGCGCCTGGCCAGGCCGCGACGCGGCTGCTTTGGGGGCCGGCGCTGGCTCTAAGGGCAGGCGCAGGGGCCGCTACGGGCCGAAAAGGGCAGGCGTGACGCGCGCGTCGGGCAGGTAGGAAAAAAAAATAATTTTAATCTTTTAGTGGTGGGCCCTTAGGAGAAATTGAACTAGCTCTATACCATGTGAAGAAACAGAGGAATGAATAGTTGAACTAGAAACAAGGTGGGTACAAGTAGAGAACACAAAAGTGTTGTACCCTCTAGGAACTACCCCACTACAGCCTAAACAGACTATAGCAGATATAGGTTTGACAGCTGATATACGCCATTCCCTTTTCGCCGGGTTTCATTTCCACTGTTGTCAGCTGTGCCATGAGACGGCTTTGATTAACACTGTCTGTTGCTTGATATATGCTCTTCAGGTGGTCGTACGCCAGTTCGGCGGAGTTGCCGTATCCTCGATAAGACCGAATGTTCTGCTGCTCGTTTGGCGTTAAATTTCGAAGAAGTATCGTGTACGCCATCAGCGACTGATACGTGTACTGCTGCTTGTCGTACTGTGTCCCATGTGCTGGATATGGCAGGGACCCGTCGAAGAATCCGAGAATTTGCGCGCCCTCCATCATCAGCTCGAACTCAATGACCAGGTATAGAAGTCCTTTCCATCGAAAAGCGTTGACGTTTGCAGTTTTAGAACATGTGCGAATTGCGATTGCACCTGAAGCGCGTCCAGTGTCTTTTCTTGTACAGGTGAAGATTGTTGGTGTGGCGCAAAGCTGATGGAGCCACGTTGAGGCTCGTACGGAGCAAAGGTGGGTTGCTGCTGATTTCCGCGCGCATAGGAGGAACCGTCAAGGCTCATCGGTGTTGCTCTGTTGTTGTTGTCGCTGTTGTTTGATTGTGCAGGAGCTGCTTGCTGGTGTTGCTCATAGAAGGACAGGAAGGAGAAGAATTTCCCCATCCTACTTGGGTCGAAGCTTGCTGCTTGATTCCCGGGAGTTTCGGTTGACTCCGCAGCTGGTCTTGTTGCTGTGCCTTCCTCTGTCTGTAGGCCAGAGGCTGGAGGTGGAATAGGAGTAGTGCCGAGAGATCCGTTGGAGGAGCTTCTCTCCTTCTGTGTTGTCGTAGAAATTTTGGAAGTCGATCTTGCCCTGTTTGCTCTCATACCATGTTGGGCTAAGAAAAGCCCTTAGGATCTTTCAAGGCTAAGATCGAGGTTGAAGTAGGAATGTTGTAGTTGCGGAAGCGTTTAATATCAGAGTTGCTGAACCACCTTGTACTAGTGTGTGAGAACAAGATAAGTTGATAATAGCAAAGAGATACAAGCCTTTTATATGATTACAAAGGAATATGAAAAGTTTTTCTTTCATTTTTGTCAGAATGTATTTGCTGTCTAGCCTGCAGTGGGGTACTCTGTAGTGAGTACAACCCAATTTAGGGTTTGCTATTTGTATCTCAACTTTCCATAGTGAATCATCTCATTCTCCTTCTCGACTTTCCTCACCCAAAGCACTCTCGACACTTCAACCTAGTTATGGCTCCTAGGTCTAACTAGCCTATTTCGACATGGTATTAAGAGCAATAAGTTATAGGACCTAACATCAATGGGCCCACCACCTAATGCCCTGCTAGCCTAGGCCCCGGCCCGTCGCCCCTTGGCGTAGCCCCTAGCCCCTAGGCTCGGCCCCTTGGCCCCGTTGCCCCTAGCTGTGCCACTCGGCCCCGTTGGCCCCGTCGCCCCTAGCCGCGCCCCTCGGCCCCGCTGGCCCCGTCGACTCCTCCGCCCCGCGCCCGGCCCGTACTTAGCCCGCGATCGGCCCGTACCTAGCCCGCGCTCGGCCCCGTTCCTAGCCCCGCGCCCGGCCCGTACCTCGCCCGCGCCTGGCCCCGTACCTAGCCCGCGATCGGCCCGTACCTAGCCTCGCGCCCGGCCCCGTACTTAGCCCGCGATCGGCCCGTACCTAGCCCCCGCTCGGCCCCGTTCCTAGCCCCGCGCCCGGCCCGTACCTCGCCCGCGCCTGGCCCTGTACCTAGCCCGCGAACGGCCCGTACCTAGCCTCGCGCCCGGCCCCGTACCTAGCCCGCGCCTGGCCCCGTACCTAGACCGCGATCGGCCTGTACCTAGCCTCGCGCCCGGCCTCCGTTCCGCGCCCAACGCCCGGCCCCGTACCTAGCCCGCGCCCGGCCCGTACCTCGCCCGCGCCTGGCCCTGTACCTAGCCCGCGCCCGGCCCGTCCCTAGCCCGCGCCTGGCCCGTACCAAGCCCGCGCCTGGCCCGTACCAAGCCCGCGCCTGGCCCCGTCCTTCGCCCAGTGCCCGGCCCCGTCTCTTGCCCGCGCCCGGCCCCGTCCCTCGCCCAGCGCCTGGCCCAGTACCTAGCCCACGCCCGGCCCGTACCTAGCCCGGCGCCCGGCCCCGTACCTAGCCCGCGCCCGGCCCCGCACTAGCCCGGCGCCCGGCCCCGGACCTAGCCCGGCGCCCGGCCCCGGACCTAGCCCGGCGCCCGGCCCCGTACCTGCCCAGCGCCCGGCCCCGTCCCTCGCCCAGCGCCCGGCCCCGTACCTAGCCCGCGCCCGGCCCGTACCTAGCCCAGCACCCGGCCCCGTACCTGCCCAGCGCCTGGCCCTGTCCCTAGCCCATCGCCCGGCCCCGTACCTGCCCAGCGCCCGGCCCCGTCCCTAGCCATGGCCCCGTCGCCCCTAGCCTCGGCCCCTCGCGACCTGCCGCCCCTAACTGCGGCCCCGGTCCCCTATTGCAATATGGTGGGTGAGGTGGCAAGAGGGGGTTCTTCCTGCCCGCGTGCCCTACAGTCGCACGCGCAGCTCCGCCCCCGCCCCCCTCCCCCCCCTCCCCCCCCTCCCCCCCCTCCATGGGGACGGCGGGGAGAGGGTGTGAGGGGGTGGCGGATGTGCCTCAGCAGCAGCAGCAGCCGCCACGCCTCCTCCTCTCTCTCTCCCTGCCGCACCTTGTGTTGGGAGAGGGGGGGGAGCTTGGAGGTTCAGGGGGAGGCAGGAGGGGATCTGCAGCACCAGCCCCCCCACCCTTCTCCTACCTCCCCCTGCTGCGGGTGCAGCAGAGGGGGGGAGGGGATCTGCAGCACCGACCCCCCCCCCCCCCCCCCCCCCCATCCTTCTCCTACCTCCCCCTGCTGCGGGTGCAGCAGTGGGGGGGAAGGGATCTGCCATCCCCCTGCTGCGGGTGTGGCAGTGGGGGGGAGGGGATCTGCTGTACCAGCCCCCTCCGCCCCCCCTTCTCCTCCATCTCTCTGCTGCGGGTGCAGCAGTGGGGGGGAGGGTATGGGGGTGGCGGGTGTGGCGCATCCTGCTGTCGCCCGAGCGGCTCCTGCACCGCCCCCCCCCCCCCCTGCCCCCCCCCCCCTTTTCTCCTCCATCCCCCTGCTGCGGGTGCGGCAGTGGGGGGAGGGGATCTGCAGTACCAGCCCCCTCCGCCCCCCCTTCTCCTCCATCTCTCTGCTGCGGGTGCAGCAGTGGGGGGGATGGTATGGGGGTGGCGGGTGTGGCGCGTCCTGCTGTCGCCCGGGCAGCTCCTGCACCGCCCCCCCCCCTGCCCCCCCCCTTTCTCCTCCATCCCTCTGCTGCGGGTGCGGCAGTGGGGGGGAGGGGATCTGCAGCACCAGTCCCCCCCTTCCGCCCCCCCCCCCCCTTCTCCTCCATCCCCTGCTGCAGGTGCAGCAGTGGGGGAGGGTATGGGGGTGGCGGGTGTGTGAACCGTCCCCTGCTCCTCCTCCTCCTCCGTCTCCCACTGCTGCAGCTGTCGCTGAGGGGGGTGGGTGTGTGGGAGCCGAGGGAGTGGTGCTAGGGGGGTGATGTGGGAGTGGAGCTAGGGGTGCAGCAAGGGGTGTGTGAAAGGGGGTGGGACAGTTGGAGGAGGTTGAGTGGAGGCTGCCGTCTTGTCGTCCGCAGCACCTGTAGTCCGGGGCTCTGCTTCTGGTAGCTCAGAGAGCCTGCTGCGCCTGTCGCCTGTGGGTCCGTTGCTCCTGCCGCTCAGAGTTAGCCGCAGAGCCAGTTACTCCTGTAGTCCGGGGAAACAGCC